CGGTATAAAAGCGCCCTTAGCCGGAAGTTTCCGGGAGCAGAACGAAAGCGTCAATCAGCGAGCCTGAGCGGCTCGTGGTTTTAAAGCCCTCTTTGATTTTCCCCCCCGCATTCTCCAAGCGACTACTTCATTATTCCGAGTATGCGGTGCGGGTGAAAGGGCAGCGAGTGGATTCAAGGCATAAAAGGCGAACACGGAATGCCATTACTGCCAAAGTAGGGAGTAATTCCCGCCGCGTTCCCAAAGGAAATCCAGCGTGCGGCCAAAGCCGGAAGATTTTGACAAATGCCTTCCTCAACGGCGGCAAAGGAGACAAATGTTACATTTAAAGAGAAATACTTAATTTCCGCTTTTGGTGACTCGCAGCAGATATCATTAATCAGCGAGGGGTGCATAGTGGGGTGGGGGGCGTGGGGGCGGCAAAGTACGCTCAGTGAGCCCGCGAAGCGCCAGATGATCGCCTCTTTCCACTCAATCCATCAAGTGTGATTGGAGAAAGAAAAGGTTGGGAAAAAAAAGAGTAATTACTCGGGCGGTGGTGGCTCGTCGAGGTGTTCCCAGAACAAGTTGAACTGCGTTTATCACACGTGACTTGACTTGGCACCCCCCCACCCCCACACCTGCGCTCAAAAAAAATATGACATGGGAGCATCGCGGACGCAAAGTTGACTCTGAAATTAAGGACTCAGAACTTGTAGAGCGGGGGATGGGGGGGTATCATTAATAACGACCCCCCCTCCCTCACCCATTCAAAAATGTGAAAGTGGGAAGGGAGGAAGGGGGGGGGGGGCCGCCATTCAAGTTGATGTATGATCCCCGGTGGCCGAGCCGGTTTGAAGCGTGGCGGGTGATTGGAAAGTGACGCCTCTTTAAACGGTGTAATGAGCCGCAGAGGACGCCACCGCGAGGAAAAGAAAAAAAAAAAAAACTCATCCTGCCGCACCGCCACCCACCTTGGTACTTGATTGTGATTTTGCTGAAAGGCGTCAGAATGACAACAATGGTGGATATAATTAGGAATCAATGGATTATTTTTTTTGTTTTGAGAACGATGCTGATTCCGATATCTCGCAGAATTAAATTACGACGATCGAATCATCGGCCGATTAATTTAAGGAAATGGATCAAATAATATGGATTGCAAAAAGTCAAAAATGCTACTTGCAATAACGTCTTCTATGCACCCGCTCCAGTCTAAATAAGGCATTCTGATGAATATTGCGTTTGTGGCCCATGAATAAAGCAGCAAAGCCCAGCTGCTTTTATCCATCTCAGGGGGGCGGCCATTTTGTCACTTTCTGTCAAGTGAAAGTGACATCACATTTGCTCCGGGCTCGGCTAACAGCTGTCACGGCTCACCTGTTTTCTGGGTTGGGTCACGTGACACTCGCAAGCTGAGCCAAATGCAAAATTAATCAGAATACCGTGAATAATAGAACATATTATCGTAAAGAAAACCTTTGACTTGACTTCGCCTTTAAAATGAGTACAACAATAATGACATGAAATCCAGGCACATTTATTTGCCTGTTTTACAATCCTTTTCTTGTTGTATTTGTTTTAACTTTACAACAGTGGGATACATCGGCAAAAATATTTTTGTTTTTTGGGATTTTTTTGGCCGAATTAAAATAAAGTGTAGTTGCACATCCACTACAGTAGGTGGCAGAGTGTGCGGAGTGAATATAAATGACGTTAATTGTTAATGTTATTAAAAAGTTACTCAGCAGATTTATACATACATTTTGTTTTGTTTTCTTTCATGCGCAAAGGCTACAATGTTGGTTGTGTTCTTTTTGCAATTTTATAGAATTATTTATAGTCGCGTAGAGAGTCAAGGGGGAAGGGAGGGAGCAAAAAATGTTCTTCTCATGAGGCGGGTTGTAACAAAAAAATAATAGCAGGCAGTGTTGCAAGAGCAATGCCATAATATTCAAGAGGAGACCGCAGCCTGTCCGAGAACAATCACCAAGGGAGTAGGTGTGAATTCGACGGCATGCACTTCCACGAGAGGAAGGAATTAGGACTCCCGTGGTTGAGCGTGTAGCCCACTTCTGGCCAAACATCGACAACGATCGGCTAACGAGGCTAAGGCCTTGAGAAAATGGATGACGACTTGATATCTGAAGTAGTCGCGATATGGATTGCGGCACTCCTCGGAGGTACGTCTGGATAGGAAAAGAAAGACGGCGCGGTCTTTGATATTTGGGCTGTTAAATCAAAGGCGAGGGGTTCCCGAGGGGCGGCCGCCATGTCGGTGACACGTTGGGGGG